TGGCGTCCCGCGGGCCTGAGGGCCCCGCAGGGCCCTTCCGCGGACGCGCAGGGGACGCTCCGCGCGAGGGGAGGGCGGCGGGAGCGGCGGCCCCTCCGCGGAGGCGCTGCCCGGACCGGGCCCCGCGCGGAGCCTCCCCCCCGGCGCGCGGCTCCGCGGCCCCTGAGCGCCRGCGGAGCCCCCCGCGGGGCGCGCAGCAGGGGCCCGGGCTGCGGGGCCCGTGGAAGGTGTCCGCAAAGCGGAATAAAATAATAATAATAAAGACAAAACCAAAAATAGAGCCAGGCGCGGAGCAGCAGGGAAAAGGGTCGGGAGGAAGGGAAGGACTCGGAGCTCCACGCACCCTCCGCCGGCGCGGATAACGAGCGGGATGTGAACATCTAGATGGGGTTTATTCCTATTTTTTTTTAATTAAAACTTTAGTGGGTCCTAGGGATCGTGCTTGCCTCGCGTTGCTTTGTAGAAGGGAAAGAGATACACGGAGAAATGCAGGCCTTGTCAGGATTTATTGAAGTTGGGTTTAAAAAACGTGCTTCAGATGATTTTTCCCATTTTCTCAGATTTCAAAGGCTCCCCGCAGTGCGGCTGCCTAATTAATGGTGAAATTCAACTAAATCTAATTATGCAGTAATTTTAAAGCAGTTAGTCCTGGGCGCTGCTTTGTAATAGGAACCCAGTTTTTAAAGTTTGCTTAATGTGTTGGTTTAGGGAGCTGGGGAGGAAAGGGGTGTAAGAGAGCGGGTTTATTTATTTTTTTTGACCCCCTCCCTTTTTTAAGCAAAGAAATGTAAAATAAAAATCCAAAATAAACCGCGAAAGGGAAGGAGAGAGACTGTGTTATCCCTCGTATGTGATACGAGTATTGAATGAGAAGCACCAGCGAAAGTGTAAATAACGCAGTAGTTAATAGGGACCATAAAGGTATTCCTGGCCTGTGGGTTTCCAAGTGCCAAGCTGTTTTAGAGAGGATCTTGAATCCGACGGCAATAAAGGGGCAACGGAGACACACAGCGTCTCTTCTTGGGAAATGGAAACCAGATTTCTGCTATTGAACCTCTATTGTCATTAAGAGGAGAAGCTTGTGCTAGCGAAGTTATAAATCTTATCGCCCTTTTGATAACACAGTTGTAATCAGTTAGCATCGCATTCAAACCCAATTGTAAAACTGCCTAATTTAATATGTCATACATGTCATTAAAACTTTATTTTTCCCCTTCTTTCCTCCCCCCACCCGCCCTCCCCATCCCCCCATAAGTAAAATGTCAACAGCTCCGGCGTGGTCCCGCGCAGCGCGGAGGGCTCCGCGCTCCGGGCCATCCCAGGGTTAGGGMGAACGGGGTTTACCCTCTACCCAGCTAGGTAATCGGAAGCGTTTATATCATATTAGAAGAGCGAGAAAAAAAAAATAGAGGGAGTGGGAGACGAGAAAGGGGTGAGTTGGGGGGGGGAAGAATAAATCCTTCTTCTGCCTTCACAATTGCAATCGCTCAATGAAGTTCTTTGAAAGAAACTTGTCTTATGATTAGCTAAGCAAACACATCTGCTTTCCTAGTTTGGGCTTAGCTAATTATCAAAACAAAGGGGCCGTTTCTTCTTTTACCTTGCTGGAAAGAAGATGTTATTTCAGGAGTCCCGGCCCTCCTCCTCCTTCTCCTCCCCCCGCTGCCCCCCCGCCCCGGGCGCGCACACGGGGAAATGCGGCCGGGGAAATGAGCTGCCGCCGGTCTCAGCCCGGCCCGGGCCGCGGCATCGCCTCCCTGCGCGCCCGGGGTCCCCTCCGAGCGCCCGCAGCCGCCGTGGGAGGGCGGGCGGCAGGGGCAGGGGCCGCCGGGCCGCGCGGGAGCTCCGCGGCTGCCGGAATCAAGGCAGCGCTC